TTTGATGGCGAAGGCGCTTAGCCTGAGTCCCAGTTCGAACGAGGTCGAACTTATCAAACTTTGATAGCAAAGGCACTTAGCCTTTTACTCGATTCGAGCGAGGTCAAACTTTGTTACACTTTGATGGCGAAGGCGCTTAGCCTAAGTCCCAGTTCGAACGACGTCGAACTTATCAAATTTTGATGGCGAAGGCACTTAGCCTTTTACTCAATTCGAGCGAGGTCGAGCTTTGTTACACTTTAATGGCGAAGGCGCTTAGCCAGAGTTTTGGTTCAACCATAGTTGAACTTACTGGCGAAGGCGCATAGCCTGAGTCCCAGTTCAACTGTTGTTGAACTTTGTCAATTTTGATGGCGAAGGCGCAAACCTGAGTCTTGGTTCAACCGTAGTTGAACTTACTGGCAGGCGCATAGCCTTGATTTAATGGCGAAAGCGCCTAGCCTGAGTCCCAGTTCAACTGTTGTTGAACTTTGTCAATTTTGATGGCGAAGGCGCATAGCCTGAGTCTTGGTTCAACCGTAGTTGAACTTACTGGCGAAGGCGCATAGCCTTGATTTAATGGCGAAGGCGCATAGCCTGAGTCTTGGTTCAACCGTAGTTGAACTTACTGGCGAAGGCGCATAGCCTTGATTTAATGGCGAAGGCGCATAGCCTGAGTCCCAGTTCAACTGTTGTTGAACTTTGTCAATTTTGATGGCGAAGGCGCATAGCCTGAGTCTTGGTTCAACCGTAGTTGAACTTACTGGCGAAGGCGCATAGCCTTGATTTAATGGTGAAGGCACATAGCCTGAGTAGTTCAACTGTTGTTGAACTTTGTCAATTTTGATGGCGAAGGCGCATAGCCTGAGTCTTGGTTCAACCGTAGTTGAACTTACTGGCGAAGGCGCATGGCCTTGATTTAATGGCGAAGGCGCATAGCCTGAGTCCCAACTCAACTGTTGTTGAACTTTGTCAATTTTGATGGCGAAGGCGCGTAGCCTGAGTCCCAGTTCAATTGTTGTTGAACTTTGTCAATTTTGATGGCGAAGGCGCGTAGCCTGAGTCTTGGTTCAACCGTAGTTGAACTTACTGGTGAAGGCGCATAGCCTGAGTCCCAGTTCAACTGTTGTTGAACTTTGTCAATTTTGATGGCGAAGGCGCATAGCCTGAGTCTTGGTTCAACCGTAGTTGAACTTACTGGCGAAGGCGCATAGCCTTGATTTAATGGCGAAGGCGCATAGCCTGAGTCTTGGTTCAACCGTAGTTGAACTTACTGGCGAAGGCGCATAGCCTTGATTTAATGGCGAAGGCGCATAGCCTGAGTCCCAATTCAACTGTTGTTAAACTTTATCCATTTTGACGGCGAAGGCGCGTAGCCTGAGTCTTGGTTCAACCGTAGTTGAACTTACTGGCGAAGGCGCATGGCCTTGATTTAATGGCGAAGGCTCATGGCCTGAGTCCCAGTTCAACTGTTGTTGAACTTTGTCAATTTTGATGGCGAAGGCGCATAGCCTGAGTCTTGGTTCAACCGTAGTTGAACTTACTATCGAAGGCGCATGGCCTTGATTTAATGGCGAAGGCGCATAGCCTGAGTCCCAGTTCAACTGTTGTTGAACTTTGTCAATTTTGATGGCGAAGGCGCGTAGCCTGAGTCCCAGTTCAATTGTTGTTGAACTTTGTCAATTTTGATGGCGAAGGCGCATAGCCTGAGTCTTGGTTCAACCGTAGTTGAACTTACTGACGAAGGCGCATAGCCTTGATTTAATGGCGAAGGCGCATAGCCTGAGTCTTGGTTCAACCGTAGTTGAACTTACTGGCGAAGGCGCATAGCCTGAGTCCCAGTTTACTTAATTTTGCTTGCATTGGAGAATATGATGTATTTCCTGGGGGAGTCCCAGTTTGCTTAATTTTGCTAGTATTGGAGAATATGATGCATTTCCTGTTCGTGTATCTCGGAGAATGCTCCTGCTTCTATTCCAATTAGAGAAATAGCTAAAACAAAATAAAAGCATTTGTTACCTCAGTTTGATCACGTTCCTTTCTCCTGTTATGCTTTCAGTGCCGCTAGCAATTTGGCGTGGTAGTCCGCTTTAGCAAAGTTTTATGTCTACAATTTAGATTTGTTGTTGTAGAGGCTTTGAAGATATGTTGATAGTTCTAGAAATTATTGTTCGGGATATGTGAGCTGCCTGAACCAAGCATTTCTCCAGTAACACCAGCCGCTGCAGCATTATTGCCGGCGTCGTAGTAGCCGCAGGTCAAGTCGGTATTCACTGGCCAACCGTCGCCTAAACCGGAATGTCCTTGCCAGTTCATTCTCTAGTCTTGTGGTAAATAACCAGAACGTTGGCCTTCGAAAAAGAGAATGGATTTTGTTAATGCGCCTGTATAGTCGTGGTAGCTTCCATGAATTTTTTCAACTGAAAGTAGAAGGAGAAGAAGAAGCATGAATTTTGAAGAAATGATGTTGTTCTTCATATTTTCTAAGCTTCTTCTTTTCTTACTGGTTGTGTTTGTTATTCTAATTCTCAATTCAATTTCAGCAACCAGTAGAGGAACATAGTTGGTAAGAAATAAAATCATTCCATTGGTCAACAGTGAGTCATTATTCTCTTTTAAGAGAGATTTTTACCAAAAGACTCTTGCAAGTCTCCTTTTAAGACCGCAACCCGAGACTTTTTGACCAAAAGGATTATGTAATTCTCGATCTAGAGGAAACTAAAATTTTAACTAGAAAATCCCCACAGACGGCGCCAAATTTGTTTGACTCAAAAGTTATCAAATACTTTCCGAGCAAATCAATCGAAATAGATCAAGTGTAAATCCTAGTTAAGAATAATTAACTCTAGATCCGAGATGAATAATACGAATTAAAAGACATAGTTGAATATAAATGTTGATGGCGATTATGATCAGATTTAATAGCATAAATAAAGATGCATCAGGTAACAAATATATGAATAAAGGAAAAGATTCACCCGGTCTTTAATGAGACGGATCTTCTTTCTTTTCATAAAGATGAATGATAGATGTGTACAAGAACTTCATGACCCTTTTTGGATCTGATGAAAGTATTGGCTAACCTATCCTTCTATTTCTTTGGAGAGGTATGTTTACATATTTTCTAGAGAGAGGGAGAGGGAGATCCAGAGAGAGCCCCCCTTTTTTGGGAAGTCCTCCCCTCCTATATATCAAGGGGGGTATCCATAGAAAATCCTAAAAAAAGGTACAATTTACAGGGAATATTCGGTAGAATATTCCTTTTGAGTTTTCCAAAGCAAACCAGATGTTTCATGGCCTGTACGACCACGACCGTTGATGACGGTCCGACCTCGGCGTGTACGTCCACGACCGTTGATGACGGTCCGACCTTGGCCTGTACGACCGCGACCGTTGATGACGGTTCGACCTTGGCGTGTACGTCCACGACCGTTGATGACGGTCCGACCTTGGCGTATACGTCCACGACCGTTGATGACGGTCCGACCTTGGCGTGTACGTCCACGACCGTTGATGACGGTCTGACCTTGGCGTGTACGTCCACGACCATGACCTCGTGCCGAATTTCTCTGATCTAATTTTGACCCATACAAATAGATTTCCCAAAGGGCAATTGATTTGATAGTATTACGTTGAAAATGTGATCGCCGGAATATGTGTTTGGTAGTGTATGTTTTATATTTAAGAAAAAACCGATAAATAACCAAAAAAACCGAAAAATCGACAAAACCAAACATAAACCGAATCGAGAAAAAACCGACTTAATTGGTTTGGTTTGGTTCTAATATTTGAAAAACCGACTTACTTGGTTTGGTTTCTTTTGAAGGGGAAAACCGATCCAAACCGAACCATGAACACCCCTATTGGTTGGTTTTTCAAAATATTTTAATTTCTTTTTTTTTACGAAACCGACCAACTTTGGTCGCTTTTCTTTGGCGCAAAAATGCAGGAAACTATTTTTGAGTCCCGCGAAATTTATTTTTTAAAACCAACCAACTTTGGTCGGTTTTTGCAATTAAAATAAATAAAAATTAATATTAAAAATACCGACCAACTTTGGTCGGTAAATTCAGCCGGTCATTTTAAAAAACCGACCAACTTTGGTCAGTAATTTTATTTTTCAATAAAACCGACCAACTTTGGTCGGTTATTTTCGTGCTAAAATACCATTAAAGAGTATAAATAAATAAAAAAAGACAATCTTAAAACAAAATGCACCAATGGTCTAGTGGTAGAATAGTGTCCTGCCACAGTACACACTCCGGTTCAATTCCCAGACGATGAATCTTTTGATTACATAATTAAAATACCGACCAACTTTGGTTTTTTTTTTTTTGCAATATTTTTTTTTGAATTTAATATATCGAGCAATGTTGGTTGGTAATTTTCGACAATAATTAAAATACCGACCAACTTTGATCGGAAAAAACCGACCAACTTTGGTCGTTTCTTTTTTTACAATATTTTTTTTGAATTTAATTTACCAACCAACGTTGGTCGGTAATTTCCGACAAGCTTTGGTCGGTATATTAAAACGACCATCAAAATACCGTCCAAGCGTATTTGGTCGGTAATTGGCCATAACCAATCAAAGTTGGTCGGTTTTTTTGGTCGGAATTTACCGGATTTCTAATAGTGTCAATAGTAACTGGGTTTACATTCAAACATTTATAGTTATTTAGTAAATTTTTCGAATATATTTATACTGTTTGAGCAAAAGCTATTGTATTCATGCGAATCCGTAGGACGCAAGGTGGATCCACCTCTGATTCCTATATACTTGTTCACAAATTAAACGACCCCTTTACATCTCGGACGACATGACCACATAATGAATACTTTTATTATAACAAAAAGAAGAATACTTTTATTTATTATCTATTTAAGTTTGTGACAATTATTACCACATAAAAAAGGAGCCTAAATAATTCAATCGGAGGAGCAGTCAAAGAAGAATTTTGTAATAACTTAATTAAAATAAGCCGTACATATGTAACGGTGAGGACGTTGTCTCTTCCTTGTCTTATTATCAATTTAGTCTTTTAACTCTTCACTTCACACGCCACTCCCCCCCTTCCCCTTTTAATTTCAAATCCTCTCCCCTCTCTCTCTCTCTCTCTCTCTCTCTCTCTCTCACACACACACACAGAGTTGCACTTTCCATTTTCTCGCATTTGTTACTGTTACCCAGCTCCTCCTTCACACTTTCTCCACCATCACACCGATCAATTTTCGAACAAAAAACCCTAGACTTGCTTTTTGCTTCACCCCCAACTTCAGATCTTACTTTTTTCTTCTTTTATGGTGGAAAAAATGTGAGATTCGACTCATAGAATATTCACTGGTGAGTTTGTTTCAAAATTGTTCTTAGTTGTGTTTTTGTTCCTCATTGTCATAATTACCCTTGTCAATGTTTGTTGTATGATTTTAGTTGATTTTTTCCCTGCATCTAGCTCATGATTCCACTGTTCTTGGCTGTTTATACAAAATGCTTTTACATATTTTGGTTTATATGTTTATTTGGATGTAGTAATTGAAATATGGGATCTTCATAAATCTTTCATACGCTTAGATGAAGTAATGCTGGTTAGGAAGAGTTGGCTTTGAGGTTTGCAAAAATTGCATCTTTTAGCATTATTATTTGGTATTACGAAAATGTTCTCCTGAAAAATAATTTCCTATGTGAAATCATAATCAATATTCAGCGTTTTGCTACTTTGAATTGTGGAGAAATGTTTTCACCGGAAAGTGGAAATGACTTCCATTTATATTGAGAAAATCTTTTTATTAAACTTTTAGGTTTTTTTATTTGGTTCGAGGGATAATGATGTTCTAATTCTGGTATAAAATTCGGTAGTACTTATACAATTTTTGATTTCTGCTGTTGAGCTCTGTGTACCTGATATAATCTCTGTACATCTAGTGCAGTTTATGGTGTCCGATAGTAACTCCATCGTTTGGTTGCTAAGTTTTTAGTTCCTCTGATTACTTGTTTACTTAGGACCTGATGCCTTAACAATTATCCATTCTTGACAACAGATGGTTGTCTGATTTTGTTTGCTCATACATCCACATGGGAGTATTTGGTTATTAAATGAGGAAATGGAGGTTGAGAAGCGAAGTTCAAAGGGAGGCTTTCTTCAGCTATTTGATTGGAATATCAAATCTCGAAAGAAGCTTTTCTCTAACAAGTCTGAACTACCTGGTAACTCCTTTTCTCCTTGCCAGTTGGCAGTTGAAGGCCACTTTTCTTGTGATTGATACTTATTGATGAATATTTTGCTATGCCCATGTTCCTGTTATTGTGGCTGCAGAAAACTCTAAGCAAGGAAAAGAAAATACCAATGGATCAGCCAATTTAAGGTTTCAGCAGGTAACTTCTCTTTTACTTTGCTCTGCTATCTCCTCTCAAATAATTCAAGACATTATCTTTATGACTGTGGATCATATATTTTGGTCTGTCATTCTGATAATTCTGCATATGTTATTGAAGGCTCATGACTATGGTCCTGGTTCCAACTCCAACCAGATCTATGATTTCTATATAGCTTCATCAGTAACCGAGGATGGAAGTTATGGTCAAAAAGCACCCGGGGTTGTTGCACGTCTTATGGGATTGGATTCTTTACCAACTTCAAAAGAGTCTGATCCCTGCGTTAACTCATCCTTTGATTGTCACTCGTTCAGAGATTCTCCGTATCAAACTTTTGTGGCTGATTTCCAGAATGAACATCATATGATAGTCGATGGTAACATGCGGAATAAGTTGGATGGATTTTGGAGAAACCCTGTTGAACTGAAGTTGCAAAAGGTGCAGAGCCGGCCCATTGAGAGGTTTCAAAGTGAGGTATTGCCTCCAAAATCAGCTAAACCTATTTCAGTTACTCAACACAGATTGTTATCTCCTATCAAGAGTCCTGGGTTCATCCCTCCTAAGAATGCAGCTTACATATTAGAGGCAGCTGCCAAAATATATGAGCAGAGTCCTCGACCCGCGACTAGAGAGAAGATGCAATCTTCTGGATCTTCCTCTGTCCCTTTGAGAATACGGGACTTGAAAGATAGAATGGAGGCTGCTCAAAGACAGTCCAGGATTTATGAAGCACCGCACAGGCCAAAAGAACAAAATTCTGTTAAACATATCAGAAGACAACCCAGTGAAAGAGGTCAGGTTCAATCAGATAATACACGTCAATTCAGGGCTTCTGAGGTATCAAGAAGAGATGTCTCCCAAAATAAGGGGAAGGAGAAGTCAGTTTCACTTGCAGTTCAGGCAAAGACCAATGTTCAGAAAAGAGAGGGAAAGACATCTTCTGCTAGTAAGAACCCAGCGAACCAGAAAGAAAAGAATGATTCTAAGCCGGGTAGAAGTCGGTCGAGTTCACAAAAAGTTGGGGAAAGAAGAACTTCGCTCATTAGGCCCTCTGATGTGCTCAGGCAGAATAACCAGAAGCAGAACTATGCATCCAATAAAGATGGGGAGAGTTCGAAAACTTCAGCACCCTACCACAAAGAGAAAAAAGTATCATCCACCGGTGACATGTCTAGGCCAACCAAGACTGTAAGTAGAATTGTTGTAAATACCACCACTGCTCCCGGAACTGCAAGTCTTGTAGGAACTGATGCGGGAAAGGAACTCTCATCATCTAGGGACTCCAGAATGAGGTCATTTACTGGAAAGAAAAGGCCAGTCAATGGAGATATTGACTCTGATGGATGTGGTCCTAAAAATTTGATGAAGAGTAAAGATGAGAGGTCTATAAAATGTAATTTAACTATTGAAGGATGCCCCAATTGGGATACAGCTGACAGGAAAAATGGGAGTGATGTTGTGTCATTTACTTTCACCTCACCCATCAAAAAATCACTGCCTGGCTCCACATCGTCAAGTCAAGTTTTGGAAAAGAGTAATGTATTGTCTCTCTTTCCAGGTTCTTATGATAATCAGTTTGACTCAAGAACATCAACAATATCTCCTTTAAGTTCGAATGTTATTGGTGGTGATGATTTAGGTATGCTCTTAGAACAAAAGCTTAAAGAACTAACTTCTAAAGTTGGATCATCATGTGAAGATCCCATCAAAACAGGGACAGCCTCTATTTCTGCCAATTCTTTTGAAGATAGTGTGTCCATTATAGCACATGGAAAGAGGCCTCAAGTTGATTTGCTTCACGAAAAAGCAGATGACACTGGTCAATCTTTTGCAACTCAGATGTGGCAGGTATTCTGATATTCCCTTAGCTTCAAAATTCCATTTTTGTGACCACTCCATCCCCAAAGAAAGTCCCGGAGAGAAAAAAAGGAACAGGTAAAGCAATGAGAAAGTGGAATACAGATAACTGAACATATGCATAAGAAACTTTTTGACATGTGGTCGGAGCTGTTAACTGGTTTTGAGCCTTGAGAGGGTTTTTGCATTGAAAATACTTCTATAGCATTCCGCATTCTTATTAGTGTATGTGAGTGGTGCATATACTTGTTCCTCGGTGAAAGGAAATAGAAGATTTCAGAGTCATTTATCATTTCCGTAGATTGCTTATTATAGTGGGTGAGATCAGATTCTTAGGTTAAGGTTCATCAACAGAAAAGATAAATGTGTGTATAGCTAACAAGTAGCCAAATGTGAAAATGTGCCACAAGCCCACAACCACTTAGCAAGAATAATGAGGGTTGTTCTGAATGATTTTCGAAGTCATCATTTTTTACCTTTGGTTACTCAGTGCAAAAGATGACCGAAAGTGTAGGCGTAGGTATATCAAGAGGCTTTCTGTGCCATTACCATAAGCCAAAGAGGTCTAGGGTCTAGGCACTTTTTTCCTTTTTTTAATTTGTTTAATTCCATGGGATGCCAGTTTAGATTTTCTGAGAGACATGATTAGAGTGATAAAAGGATGGTTTAGAAATGAAAGGACCTCCAGGAAAATGTCTTTGGGATCTCCTTTGCATGCCTATTATAGAAGCAGTTATGCCCTTTACTACTTGTTTCTTTTTCTTTTTGTTGTTTTCTGCATCTTTCAGTTTTCCTCCTTAGTCCAGTTGTTGCACTTAATTCCGCTGCGCCAATGTGACAGCATATTGGTCCTAAACCCAGACAAAGAGGAGCATTGTGGTAGGTTGACATCTAGCAGGAAAATTGGTTTAACTATGACAAATCCTCTGAATTAGGGATACAAGGATTCATATATGCTATTGCTACTAGTTTGAGACTGACATAGTTGATTGATTTGCTATCCAGTTGTTAACCTTGAAAATTTGAGTATATGCAAATCCAGCTCGTTTAGGATTGAGGCATAGCTGCTGCTATTGGATTCCTATTTCTGTATTAGTACTATACTTCTTTTTCTTAAAAAAATGATGTGCCGGGCTAATCTTATCTGCATCACTTTCAGGGTCCCAAAATGGTAGAAAAGCCTAAAATGGCCAGCAGCTTTACGTGTGAAAGAGAATTTACTCTACCCTGTTCTAGTCCGGTCTCAAGTTTGGAGCCTTCTATCTCAGGAGGCAGTTGCAACTCCTTGGACAGCTACAGAAGTTTAACTACTGATGGTAATAATACTGATCTTTTAGTTTCCTCCTTTTTTAAATTGTGATGATTCATCAGTATACAAGGCATGGCTTATTCGGGGATACATCGCATTCGTCACATATATTATTGACTTAGCTGAAAGAGTTTACTTTTGTCCCATAAAACTTTTAGTGGTATTTGCTAGTATTTCTTGTGTCCAAATATATTTCACCTCAATATATGTATCAGAGTGAGAAAAGAGAGCCCGGATGATAGTTTTGCTGGATTTATGTATGGATAGAAAATTACATGTAGAAGGGGCATTTTGTTTTAACACTAAACTGTAATACGCCAACACCAAGATAAGATCTGGTGGATCTTTCTGTGTTTTGTTGAATTTTAAGAGATAGTACACTATGACCAAAATAAGACCTGGTAGTAGAATTTGGTATTATTGCACCCAAGGGTGTGGCCTAGTGGTCATGAAGTGGGTGCAAACCTTGGAGGTCAGGGTTCAAGTTCCGGTAGAGACAAGATGCACTAGGTGATTTCTTCCCATGTGCCTGCCTTAGTGGGCACAATTACCTTGTACTTGTGTTGGTGGAGAAGTGAAATAGTCTAGGTGCTTACGAGCTGACTCCGACATCCGTTGTAAAACACAAAAGAATTATTTTGTATTTTTTTTCTTCTTATAAGGCATTATATATTATATTGTCAATTTCAAAACTTAGAAACTTTTCCATTTAGTGAAATGAGCCTGGCTTGTTAGATGGAGTTAAATGGAAAATAGGAAAAGTAATTTGGGAAACAACAGTAGGATAACCTTAAGGTAACGCTTATTAGAGCGATAATGTAGATAAGATAACTTATATTTTTTGCTCATCTCATCTTGCATTTTGAATAATCACATGGTCTGGACAAAGGTTGCAGAAGTTCTCTTCTCTCAGTTCCATGGATAAATATTATCTTCCTGCCCTTCAGGTGGGATTATTACTTGTCCTATTTCATCTACTTTTCGCTAAAATATTCAGTGGTAATGAACACTGACTAATTATAAATGAAAACAACCCCAAGGCACCTTTAGTAATAAAAGATAAAAGATAAAAGATAAAAGATGGGCTGGCTGAATACATGATTTTGCACTGCTAGCATCTACTTTCAGCTATTTGCCTCTACTCTGTGTTCTGAAGCTCGTATTCAGATCCCTGCATAAATGAGGATAGTATATTCTACAGTTTTAGAGTCAAAAGACAAACAAGATAAATGAGGTAATGATTTTCTCCTTCATCATCAGATAGAAAGTAGAAGTTGAATACATTGAGTCATGAAAAACACAAAAGGTCCAAGATGTTCGAAGTTTGCATTTACCTTGGGTTACCTTGTATTTATGGGTTCAAGACTTCAAGCTCTCACTTTAACTTCTGTTTGGATGTTTCCTATCATAAACATACAGCTACCTTCAGTATTTCAAAAAGGAAAGTGTAGTTTTATAAGGAAAAGTTTCCTTACTCAAGAATTAGCATTTTATTTGGCAATTTCCTAGAGTATTATGTTTTTTCTTGTTCTTCCGGTTCTACCTTGTCCCATTCCTCTTTATGTGTGTACTCTTTCGTCAGATTTGTATACCTATATTCACTACTTCATTTTAAGATTGAACTTCTCCCGATCAATTTTGTAAATATGCATAAATCATGATTCTCTAATTTTGTTACATAGCGTTTTCTTCAACAAATTAATTATAGGAAGAGGGTAGTTTGTCTTGTACAATCGTTAAAGAAGAGAAGGCAATAAGGTTTAATGGAAATCATAAGAGTGCAAAGGGTACACTTTGACCGGAAAACAAAATTCCATTACTCATCAAAATGAGTTTATACTCTTTCTCGTAAGATCAGTACTGTAATTGCTTATGGACTTTAAAGATGTATTCAAGAACTGAATGTTGTCCACTACCAGTTATCACCCCACCCCACCCCACCCAAAATAATCAATTAAATCCTGACTGGTGAGACTTTATGATTCAGGGAGCAAGTACCATCTGTCTGATGGATCTCAGGAAATGATGAACTGGAAAACCTGCTCAAGGATCCCTTTGGCGGAAGGTGATGCGGAGTTATTAGACTCAGCCTCTTCGGTTTCTCTTGCTGACACAGGTGGAAAGGATTCCACTACTGCATCGACTTCCAGAAATTTCGATGAATCACCTTACTGGGAGTTTAGATATATTAGAGGTATAATTAGACGTTCGGACTTGATGTTGGAAGATTTTTTGTTGGGTGAGGCTCAGAGCATTATTGCTCTCGATCTTTTTGACCAGTTGGAGAATCATAATACTCGAACGAATAAAAATGTAGAAGAGCAGTTGAAGATTAGGAGGAGAGTATTGTTTGACTCGGTGGTGGAATGTCTGGAATTCAGATGTAAACAGAGTTCCGGTGGAAGTTTTGAAGCTTGGGCAAAGTGGACGGCATTGGTCCAAAGAAAGGAGTGGTTGGCAGAAGAAGTGTACAGAGAGATTGCTGGTTGGACAAGCATGGAAGAGTTGATGGTGGATGAGGTTGTCGACAAGGACATGAGCACGCGACATGGCAAGTGGACTGATTTTAGCTTTGAAGCCTTTGAAGAGGGTGTTGACATTGAGAAAGTGATCCTTTCATCTTTGATGGATGAATTGATCCATGACCTAATGTGAATGACTCCTCTTCTGGCTTCCAATCAACATGAAGTGTTTATACTTTAGCTTTGCTACTTTTCAGCTTCCTTGTGCATTGTTTCTTCTTTTCTCCTTCTTTTCCTCATGAAAGGTGGAAATCTTAATTTAAGCAAGAGATCAGGGGCTCAAGTGATTGCTCGTATTTATGTTCTTTAGATAGGATCAAAGTTTCCATGAAAGAAAGGGTTAATGTCCTTTGAATCATTAGCCTTTCTGCTTAAGTTTTCGCTGATTTTGAGTGTGATATTGATAGGTGATGCCGGTATTATTTAACATGCTGTGGGTTTTAGCTCAAACGTAGCTCTAATGACGTCTATTTTCCTCTATAAAAGCACTACTCTTGAGAGGTTAATTTCGGTTGGGCTGCTTCTGCTCAATTTTGAAGTAAGCTTCTAACAGTATAGAAAATCTGAAGAAATTTTGTTAAGAGTTTTCTTCGAGAAAATAAAAGAGAATAGCTTGTAGGAGCTTCCACTGGATGAAAGATGAAACCCTCCACTCTTGCAAGAATGAGTTTCAAGTAAAAAGTTTGTCTAATTTTTAGTCTAAAAGATTTAATTTTTAGAGCTCAATTGGTTGGTTACCTAAACTTTTAACTTGCTGGTGAAGGTTCGTAAAGTCAGTCTTGTATTCAATTCAGGCCAAAATTTCACGGTATAGCCAGTTTTCGGACTGGTCAATCAAAAATAGCCAGCGTTTACCAAGTCAATGAAAAATAGCCACCGTTTTGCTGCAATAGAGACCGGTCCAGCATAATATACTGGAGTTTCGGTGCACTTGTGTATGAACTCCAGCATATTATGCTGGACCGGTATACTTTGCTGGCTCCAGTATAATATACTGGAGAGTGCTCCAAACTCCAGTATATTATACTGGACCATTATACTTGTTGAAACTCCAATATATTATGCTGGAGTTCTAGTGTATTTATGGTGAAACTCCATCATATTATGCTGGAGTTCCAGCATACTATCCTGGAACTCCAGTATAATAGTTCAAGTATACTTATGCTGGAACTCCAGCATAATATACTGGAGTATTTTCCGGGTTTTGAACAGTGTTTTCGCGCTGATTTATCTTTACATAAAAAGTGGTTAAATTTCGATTACTTTTGAAATTGGGCTATTTTTGAACGACCAGTTGTAAATCTGGCTATTTTTAAAAATCACCCTCAATTCAGCGGTTGAAAGGATTTCAAGATGCTTCATAGTCTGTGTTGGATCTTTTCCAATTTCATTGACTCTAGGCTCCTTGTCCCTTTTCTCTTGGTTTTGGGCGGGTCTCTGAGTGTTGACTGTTGAAGGTGTTAGGCCTTTTTCTAAATTTTAAGTGTAATGATGAGCATTCAATTAGTCCACTATGAAGAAGATAGAATACTATAACGAATTAATTCAGATTTCAGAATTACGTTCTATCGTTTGGACAATTTTTCAGAAAGCATTCTGCAAAAGAAATAAGTTTTAAAAGAATAATGTATTTGAATAGTTAAAGTTTTTTTCTTCTAATTCTCTGAGTGTCTCATCAGCTGAATAAGTTTTCTTGGTTCAACAGTAGCTCACTGCACTTCTACCATTAAAATGTGAACAACCTTGGGCAAACAGTTAATATTTTTAAAATGCTTTGTCATCCTTAATAGGATTTATATGCTTTTTACATTTTAATCAAAATTATTTGGAAAAAGCTGCACAGAACTTTTTACGGTTCGGATTCTTAATATATCTTAGTTAGTACATGCGTTTAATATATCGGCAGAATTCCCTTTCGTTTGACTGCTAGCTTTTCAAATGTTAGGTAAACTTTTTAAAAAGCTCTGATTTATAATACTCTGTATTTACCTTCAAATATGTACCTTTTATTTGAAAATTAAGAACCTATGATCGGATCACGGTGATTAAGACTGTCAAATTTAGCCCAAGCCCAAATGACCTGTCCATTTAGGGGGAAATTCAAAAATAGGCAGATTTACAAGTGCTCATTTAAAAATAACCACAGTTTCAAAAGTAACCAAAATTTACCCACTTTTTATGTAAGATAAATCTGAACGAAATACTGTTCAAAATACGGAAAATATAAGTATACTGGAACTCCAGCATAAGTATACTGGAACTCTAGCATAATATACTGGAGTTCCAGTATAGTATACCGGTCCAGTATAATATGCTGGAAGTTCATACACAGGTGCACCGATCTCCAGTATATTATGCTGGACCGGTTCCTGTTGCAGCAAGATAGTGGCTATTTTTCAATGACTTTGCAAACGCTGGCTATTTTTGAATGACCAGTCTGAAAACTAGCTAGCCCGTGCTATTTTAACGTTCATTATTGAATTCAGTCCATCTTGATCCGACCCTTCGCAACCCATTTAAAGTTGGGCTAATTTTTAGCCCAAATTGATCTATGAGTAACTTTGCCAAAATATTAGAAATAAACTTTTTTTTAAATGTTTGATATATTATAAATAATCGTAACAAAAGAAGAAGAAAAAAGTCTTATTTAGTAATTATACAATTCATAAGAAAATAATATATATTAAGTAAAGCTTGATAAGATTTGGGTGGGTTGGCTTATGACCGAAATTTTAGCCCATGTTGACCAGCCCATTTTAGCCCAAGTAATTTTTCAATTATTAGGTCAACTCATTTTGACCCGCCCAAAATCAATTCAACCCGCTCATTCAACACCCATAACGGTGATAAATATATTGGTTTCCATACTCTAAACTCCACCATTGTTTTTAGGATTAGTTACCTCCTATAGCAAAGGTTGATACCTTATTAATTTTAAATAAATACCCTTTTAAAAAATTATATTCCATAGCTACCTTTTGATTTTTTATAGCTAAATATCTATTTATGGTCCATAAAATAAGCTTTGCATTATTTTTCTCTCTCATATCCCCTACCCCATATCTATTCTCCCCCCTCCCCCCTCTCTCTCTCTCTCTACTTCCCGATGTCTTCTCCTCCGCCGGACGCTGGAGCAATTGCCACCGTCACCATTTCGATCGTGGCCGTTATTCATTGATAATGCCGCCTTGAGCCTTCCAATCTCATTCACAGTCGAATTTCAATCTCGCTGGAGAAGGAGAAGAAGTCGTGAAATTTCTCTCTCAGGTCTAATGTTCTTCTTTGCTAAAAGAGTACACAAACTCGACACAGCCAAACAAAAGACAGTGAAATTGTCGCCATTTACAGACAATTACTCTTGAAAAAGCAATGGAAGAAGGAAAGATTTTGACAGATATTTTCTCGCTGTAATGGAACTTGTATTTTCTGTTAATATATTTTAATGTATTTCAATGTATCTCGCTGTATTTCATTGTATTCATTGTCTTTTTTTTCATTGTATTTCAATGTATCTTGTTGTATTCTATATATTTCATTATATTCATTGTCTTTTTTTTCAATGTATCCCGTTGTATTTTATGTATTGCATTGAATTCACTGTCTCGCTATATTCCATGAATATATTCATACGTTTTTTTTAATTAATATAATTTATGTATTCAAGTGTATTATATAATTTCTCTGAAAATTGTTATATTTTTTGGGTGTTTTTCGGTTGAGAATCTTTTTAATAACTGAAAATACAAAATTTGTGTGTTATAATTGAGTTTGTTGAGTTATATTAGGAGTTTATTATGTTAATTGATTCACTTTCCGTTTAAAAACAGTGTAATCCCCTATTTCACGTCGTGAATACAGTCGAATACAATAATCTGTCCAATTGTAATCCCATATTTCACGTCATGAATATAGTCGAATACAAAAATTTGTCTAGCTGTAATCCCCTGTTTCACGCCTAGAAATGCTACTGTATTCATATAGCTTAAATACATCGAATACACTATAAAAAAATCTAAAAATATAGTTATAGAAAGTAATATAGTAAATGATAGCTAAAACTAGCTAATAACCATTAAAACGTAATAAACGTAATGGTTTGCGAAAGTTTCTCTTATTTTTAGGAGGAAGGGAGAGATATCCAGTTTGAGGTCACATTGGCGTGAGAGCCATGACACCAAGGAAAGTCGGAAGGATCCAAAATTTAACTTTGATTGTTTTAAAGTTTTTAGTACTGATCTCATTTTACTTTTGAAATTATCATTATAGATGAAAATGTCGGGGTTGTCCATTACGCAAAAGTTACATCTAACTCCGGTGCACAGATGCCAAGCCACAATTCGAAGCTTCTAAGTTTCAAATTCCAATCATTTTAAATTACCGAAATCTAAATTAATTATTTAAATGACATAATTTCTTTAAAATAAATACAGATTTTAAATCAAACTTAAACTCTAGCTCGTGTTACCACAAAGGTAGGAGTGACAAACGGGCGGGACGGGTCGGATATGGTTCGGGTCGAAAAATGATATTGAAAAAACGGATTAATTATGCGACCCGATCCATATTTAATACGGATAAAAAATGGGTTAACCAACGGATAATATGGGTAACCATGAATTCTTGCATATGATCACTTTTGGGAGAATTCTTAGTCTTCCTAACTTGAGGAACCCTAATTTGAGGCTTTACAAATGTAAAAGTTAGACCCATTGATTATCCATTTTCTAAATGGATAATATGGGTGGTTAACTGTTTTCTTTTAACCGTTTTGTCACCCCTCCACAAAAGGTGGTCCTACAGGAAACAGGCGTCCACTTTCGTCGCCGGCGAACATCTGACAAGTAACGTGCCCCCATCTAATCTGCTATTACACTCTGATTCTTCTGAAAAAGAAGCAGACAATGGCTTCTGTCTAAAGCCCAATCTTTTGGTCCTCCATTTTAACTATTTTACATTCCCTTCTTTTACCTATCCAAGTATCGCACCCACCACCACCGGTATAGTAAAATGTTTAGACCCTCTTTCTATTTTTAATTACAAGTTTCGATTTTAAACCTTAAAAATTATTACTATAAGTTTTTGATAGAAAATGTTTTATCCTTTAAAAACTTTACTCGACACAAATTTAAATTATAAATTGAGCCGTAAAATAATCGAAAATAGAATTCACTATCTCACAAGTTTTTCTTTCTTTCCTTTGGTAGTTGGTTTGTACAACTAACCATGGATTCTATCCGAAAAATTACCACTTGGGAAATGGAGAGAGTTTTGGCTGATTTTTTCAATCTCCGCAAATCACACCTAAATAATAGATTCTATACACTTGTTGGTGTAGAACGAAGTCTTATCATTACATGCATAAAACAATGTCTATGAGTCAAATAGTTTCCTTTTATAATAAGCCAATATAAGGTACTATATATATTT